TGTGATTCTATTTGTTGTGTTTGGTGATTTTTAGGGTTTTTGCGAGATCTAAAAATCCTAACAGTTCACATCCCAGAGGAAATTTCATCAGGGACGTATCCTAAACGGTTTCTCTGCTGGAATTTTTTTTCCCACCTGTAATTACATATATTTTCCCCCTGTAATTACATATATTACTTGTAAATTCAATAATAATTCGAATCGAAGAAATATGCAAATCTAAATCAAATATGTGCATTCAACGTACACCTTCCAATATACACATTATAATACACATACCACGTTCCAAGTGGCCTGTTTCGTCACTTTGGTCAGTGACCTGTTTCGTCACCTGAGCTTTGCCTGAGTTTGGACCAGGCTGAGATCGGATTGCGTGTAATCCTCTAGTCGCCTGTTTTGCGGGATTGGATGCGCGTAGGGGATTTGTGAATAGTCAGTTATCTGATGATATTAACGTTGACTCTATGTGAGATGTGGACCAATGAGCTATTATAGGATGGCTAGTTGTATGACCTTGATACTTGGATGATTATGGATTCTTCTGATTGTTATACTCTAGTGGTGGATTGAATCTAGCTTATTATTATTCTAGCTACATGTTTCTCTTTATTATTATTGTTATTGCTTTTGGTCATTCGACTGTTTCTATTTTCTTTTGTGGGGTTTTGACGTGTGTCATGCACGTTGACGTACACATGTTTTCTCTGATGTACGTCAGACTTAGAGGAAGGACAGGTCCATCTTGGAGATATGGCAGAGCCCGAGTATCCTCAATAAGAGTGCTTTGCAGACAGAGCAGAAGAAAAAGTCGAAGCCTGGTTTTTCTTTTATTAGTTGATGGTCCTAGTTTACTTTTGTAACACTTTCCTTTTCCGCTTGATCAGTATATTTTTATATTTTCCAGTATTTTAGTTAGATTATTTTGTATCAGAACATGTTGACTCGTATATGATGTCTTGGATGATATTTTCCTTGTGATATGTATCATGTTGTTCTGGGTTGTTTATTATATTCTCGCTATTGTGATCAAGACCTATGACTTTACATTGTATTTATTTCTTGACGCTTAGCGTATTAGATTGAGTAGAAAAATTCTAATACTTATTTCTCCTCGGTCTAATACGTCACGGGTTTGTTCACATCCCGATTCCCTCGTATTTCGGGAAGCGGGGCGTGACACATTATACACATTATTGTGTTATATATCACACCATTTTTAAAAAAATTAATTATTCAACGAATCAAACATTATCAATTAGGGTTCCACTTACGGTTAATTTCTAAAATATGTTCAATTAGGGTTAGGATTATTAGGCGTAAATGTAGTTCAATTAATGTTATTATGGTTTAAATTAGGATTTTAACAATCAAAGTTATGAAGGGCAAAATGCAACTTGATTAGGGTGAGTAACACAAATATAATTGAATAATAAACTGCAAAAATTATAAAAAAATTAATATTTCTTATGAAGCCCACTTTAAATTAGGGAGAGTACAATATGGGGTGGATTGGCGACTTTTGCGCAGCAACATCGTCCCGGACAGATCTGCATTTTGGAAAAGAGATGTGATTCAAACATAAATTTTCATAAAAATAAAAATACAAGAAAATACCACAACTAAAGATCTGAAATTTTGATTAAAGATCTAAAAATTTACCTTAAATTTTTAGATTTGGATGTTGCAGCGGCGGCAA